AATCAGTATGCGAGTATTTTGGCTGCAGGAGAGAGCAAGCTGCAGGTGGTAATGGCTGCGTAATGATCTTTATCTCTTGTGTCCCGCCTGAGGACACACTTAATCTTTTTCTTTAAATCAGAAACTGAGGCGACACAATGTATTGAGGATTTTAACCATACCCCTGTCATCTGTGTACTTTACTTCCCTACTGACTAGCGTGCCTCAGCTTCCAAACCAACCTCAATTTTAATATGATCTTTTTCCTATTCCAGGCAATTTCTTTTCGTGTCAATAAAGAGCTCTTGACACAACCAGTAGTGGTTTCATATTATTCTTTGTCATAGGGAAAGGGTTCTTTTGACACTATTGTCTCTTCCAGTAACTACCAACTCCCCTACGCTTCTTTATTCTTGTGTTTTTCCAGAGAGATGTTCATCCAGTCCACGCGGTTGTTGATTCTTGATCCTGAATATAGTCCAAATGTACGTTCTGTGGGAGGACTGCCGCCACAGGGAGTTAGAGCACAGACACCAGCAATTTACTATTCTACCTAAATGGCGGTGCCTGCGGAGGGAGGGAGGAGTGGAACAAGACTTAACAACCTCAGCTTCCAGAGCCTGTACGGCAGTATCGAGGTTGGTGACAACAGTGTTGTATAGCTGGCTCGCTCTGCTCTATCGCATCTGTAGGCAGCACCCAAAAGTCCAGTAAAACGCAAAAAATAGAAATATATTCATAATAATTTTAAAATGCTCTTCATTTGAACAACTCGGTCTACTTGCATTCAGAGCCTTTTTTTAAAATGCTATCAGGCCCAAATGTAGATAAAGAAATACGTTTACGGATTTCAGTTAGGGATTTGTTGACTTGGATTTCCAACTTATTTAACAATAATTTGAGGTGTTTCTCTAAAAGCAGAGCGAAGACAAATCAATGGCATTTAGGCTAACGAGGATACTTAATAATATATGGGAATTAGAAGCCTTTAGGAGTAACGTGACCAGGCAGGTTATAAAACATGAGACCCTGGAAACTTAGTACCTTTCTTGTGGCAAAGGACGCTGGGTTCTAACTCAGTTTGAGAGTGGAAGGCGTATGTTTGTTATTTGGGGGTTTGTTGATAAATGGTAACTGGATCTGTTGTGCTTGGAGGTCTGTGGTCCTCTGAGCCGTGGGTGGTAACTCATGAACGCTACTGGTCCCGAGGACAAGCAAGTGGCGCTAAGTTCCCTGTACAGATCCCTTATTAAAAACAAGTGTCTAATGAAGTATCAGATACTCTAGCTTTTGAATCGGTCACTAAGTGCTGCTCAAAAAGTCATTTAGGTATGTCTTAAAAGCCTGCTTGTGAGCATCCGGGGCACGAATAGTAGCAACCGAAGTACAGACCTAAGCCTGCTCCTGCGTTTGTGAAATAAATCAGTTGTTAGAGAACCTTGTGACTTGAATAGATGTAAAGCAGACACTCGGAGAGGGTTAAGGCAGGTCAGATGTTAGGATAATCCTAAATTGCTCCCAGTGGGAGCTGTTCTGTGCTCATGAAATGAGGGGAAATCAGCGCATCTCGTGAAAACAACTCAGTTTGGTAAACCTCGGGTTTTTATGATTAAACTCTCAGCTACCTATTGAAAGTGCGGTGACATCTACATGGCTGTGTGGTTGTGAAGCACATAACCAAACATGCTGACTTTTTGTTAGTGCTACTGGGATCACAATGAAAGAAACAGCAGTACACGAAATAATTATCTAATTGTGGCAAGGCTTCTCAGGAATCCAGAGGTCGAGCCGTGCTCACGGACGTTGGGTTACGAATGTGCCTTTTCTGTAGGGCAAATGGGAAAACGTTGATAACCGTGTGTCCAGCTGGAAAGCGTACTCCTAAGAAAATTGAAATACTTTGTGAAATTCTGTCAGCCTACAGAATTTTCTCTTCCTTTTATCAGTGTCCCTTCAGTTCCTTCCACAAAGGCTAATTACTTCATCAGCCAGCGTTTGCAGAGTGAAATGTTGCTTTTTAAAACAGTTTTTCAAAAACTTTTTCACATTTGGTATTCTAGATTGTTACAGATCAGTCACAGTGGGGTTTGTTGTTTCGGCGTGGCATTCAGAGAACATTCTGAAATCCAACTTTTAAAAAGCAGGACTTTTTAATGTTGAAATTGTCTTACAAGCGTGACTTCTGCATTTAGCACAGGCCAGTGTCTAGTGAAGGCAAACCATTTGATGGCTTTTACTTCAGCATCCTTGTTCTGCAGTGAAATGTTGAGGCTGTCTTCAGAATCACCAGCTTGAGCCGAACACTTCAGGGGATTTTTATGTCTTCCTTGCACTCATTTTGAGTACTTTTTTTTTTTTGAGGGTTTTGCTGAACTGGGATGAACATGAGCATATACTTACACTTTAAAATCTTCTGGAAATATTGCCGAGTCATTCGGAAGCACTAAATGATACAGGTTGGACATCCTTGCACTCATTTTGAGTACTTTTTTTTTTTTTTTGAGTGTTTTGCTGAACTGGGATGAACATGAGCATATACTTACACTTTAAAATCTTCTGGAAATATTGCCGAGTCATTCGGAAGCACTAAATGATACAGGTTGGACAGGACCTCTGGAGTTCATCTGGTCCTTAGTTTTAATCAGAAAAACACGTCTTTAGCAAAAGCTGAGAAAAATACCCCACCTACTGCAAAAAGAGGCTCTCTCAAGTATATATATTACTCTCAAATCAATACACCGCATGCCCTGCAAGATGTATAGCAGCCATGCTTCTCTTTATGCAGCCCAGGGTATGAGTGGCTCTCTGGGCTGCAAGCAGACATTGCCAGCTCACCTCCAGTTGAACATCCACCGCTACCCCCGAGCCCTTCTCCGCTGGGCTGCTCTCGCTCCATTCATCCCCCCGGCTGCGTTGATACCGGGGATTGCCCCAAGGCAGCCGCAGGACTTGGCACTTGGCCTTGTTGGACTTGACGAGGTTCGCACGGGCCCGCTCCGCACGCCCGTCAGGGTCCCCCTGGATGGCACCCCTGCCCTCTAGAGTATCGCCTGCAGCTCTCGGCTTGAGGTCATCCGCAGGCTTGCCGAGGGGGCACTCAATCCCGCTGTCCGTGTCACCGAGGGAGATAATAAATAGTATCGGTCCCAGCACAGACAGAGCAATAAGCTTTGGGAACCAAGGCGGACTTGGACAGGCAGAACAGGTCTCATGTTCTCAGACTACACGTGAAGGACAAAGGACTGGATGGAACGGGTGTGGGAAGTGGGGAATACCTCGAGCGCCGAAAACCTTTGTGCTCGGGTCTTCAACAGAGCACAACAGGATCAGGCATCCATATCTGATTAGATCCTTTGAAAATCCCAGCCTAGATAAAACGCGTTATAAAAACCATCTGCGCAAGCAGAGCTGTTCCGGCAGCTTTTCTGCCCATTACTCCCCAGATGTTTTCCTTATTTTCTGGTATTCTGAAAAGAACATACTTTGGGATGACACAGCTTGAAAAGTTGACACTTTTCCTTAATTGTGCAACTACGTCATGATCTGAAAGGAACCCCAATTTACCTGAAGAAGGACTGCCCTGGGGAATGACCTTACCCGGTATTTGGCCCCTATAGACCCTCACAGGATGAGGCACGGTGACGCTCCCATCCCGTAGCAGATCTGCGTAGGCCGGTTCTCGCACTACGCTGCGTTCCTCGCCTCTGTGAGATGCTTCCGAGGTTGCGCTCTGTACGTGCTGAGTTCTGTCAGACTGAATGGGCCCTAAAGGTGTTTTATCTCCTGCTGGTACTGAAATGGCAGTCTTTTTAGGTGACTTATATCCCCCCCCAAAATAGAATGGAGTTCCCCCCAAAAATGTACCACGAGAGCCATTTTTTATCTCAAATTCTTATTCTCAAATTTTCACTCCTATTTATTTCTCTAGCTGCAACAATAATCAGCATCACAGAATTTAACAAGAGGGGCAACCAGAAAGGGGAACACATAGGATGTGACTGACGATGCTTACTCTGTCGTTTGGGCAGGAACCGGTCGGCATTCAGGTCCAGGCAGAAGCAATCTGAGTACAACCACAAGAAGACCCGGGAACCGGTGAGTTCAGTTCAAATATTCAGACTGTATATCCAATATCGCAGTTAATGAGAGCTATAGAGTAACGGACTGACAAGTTGGAGGAACAGGCTTATGCTTCACAGAAGGAGCTAAAAGAGTAGTACCCACTGCTGAACAAAGAGAATTTTCTGTTAAATCAAGAAGCGAGTTTATGGGCTTAGTCTTGCTTTTAGCGGAGGACTTTTTTATAAATCTCATTAGCAGGCATTTTGGTTTACAGATAAAATTATTTCTTAATGCAACAAGGGGGACGCCCTCAGCCGCGCTGGCTCGGGGCTGCCCTGAGCCCCAACAGCCGAATGCCCAGGAGGGCGCACAGGCTCAGGGCCCTGGCAAGGCTCGCGATTCCCTCCTTTTTCCAGCTCCACAGTCTAGCTGGATGCTACAAGCAGCAGCGATGTTTTCATTGTCTGATATCAGAAGAAGATGGTAGGTATTAACAACAAGTAGCCTTACGTGCTGAAACATTACTCTAAATATTGTTCAGGCAATCCTGTTTCAGCTGCTCCGAGAGATTCGCAGAAGAAAATGAAGGAATGCTCTCCTCTTCATCAGTGAGTATCCGGAGTAATTGTATCGGAGTCAATAATTATAGTTCTCTTTTTCTCTTATGTCACAATAAATGGAAGGTAAACCCATTGTAATCACGTCTTGGCTCCAGCTCGGTTGAAGAGCAGTGAGTCATCACCGACTGCAGGGGAGTTGCCACTGGTTTAAGCTGGTAACATAAAGGGCAGAATTTAGTTTCCTACTTACATCAAACGGTCAGATATTACACAAGTTGCGCATCTCCTTTAAAACAGAAACTTCGTAACCTTTTTGTCAGAAAGGGCTTACAAAGCGTGAGTTTCACTGCACCATAAATAAACTCTGCTCGGCGTAAATCACTTAGTTCACAGCATGTTTCACTTAATCCCATCGTTGCAGGGCTCTTCTAGATCCTCCATTACCAAATCCTGCTGGTTATTCACCCAGTTTCCTTTCTTAACTGTCTTCCCCTCCTCCTTAGCATTTCGACAAGCTTGATCCTGAGGCGTCGGGTAGTCGGCAGCCGGCAAAACGGCATTGCTTTGGCCTCGCTGAGAATAGACCTCCCTGTGAACGACCTTCCTGGAGCAGTGCTGAAGTTTAAAGGCCGCCTGAAAGCCTCGGCGAAAGTTCTCGTTAAAGAAACCGTAGATGATGGGGTTGACGCTGCTGTTGAAAAAGGCCAGCCAGTGAGCAAAGGGATAGATATAAATGTTGATGATCTGCAACTGGATATCTGAAACGTTGGTATAGTCCGAGAGCATCATCAGAGTCCACAAGGGAAGCCAGGACAGGGTGAAAAGCAAAGTCACAATAATGAGCATTTTGATGACTTTCTGCTTCTTTTTAGACGTGCTGTGCCGCTGCTCCCGTCTGTGTTTTCCCACCACGGGCATTGCTGTGTTGAAGAGAGCAATGCTTATCCTAGCATACATGATGATAATAAGCGACAGGGGAGCCAGGTAGATGTTGGCAAACAGAACCGTCGTATAGATCTTTCTCATTCCTGGGTCGGGCCAGTCCTCCTGGCACCAGTATACAGGGCGGGTTTCATTGCCGTAGCCGAGGAGCACCCTGAAATGCTTCTCCTCTTGCACCTGCAGCATGACCGCAGAAGGACACATGATTGCGACGGCCAGAATCCAGATGACCGCTATAATGGCGACCGCTGTTGGAATGGTCAGCTTCTGCTTAAACGGATAAACAATGCATCGAAACCTGTGGCAAAGACACCCGGGGACATAGGTGGAGAAGCCATTTGAGGAACGCTTAATCAAACAGGCAAGCTTACATACACATTTTAAATCGTACATTTTTTAAAAAGTATAGGTGGAGTCATCTCCTCATCCTGCATAAGCCAGTGGAGTTGCATTTAGTTGCTCCGTTTAAGAGCTGTGTTGGTAAAAACAATCTTAAAAAAAAAAAAAAAAGAAGTTGCATTTGCTATTAAAATGTCCTCCTTTAGATCTGTCTCCGTATCAGCCTGCTGCTTCCGCTGCTTCCTTTAACCAAAGCAGGTACTAGTGCCTCTGCTATCTAGCTTGATAGCTAAGGAACCACCCAGTTCTAGGCAGCCAGTGTAGCCCAGCTGTACCATCTTTAAGAGATACCGGTGGAGGAGCAAATTGCTGCGGCTGCTCTTTAGACCCGGCCACCTTTTGTTTTGCTCAATAGCCTCAGGAACAAAATACGTCTAATTTATTGCAGTGTTGTGTGGATTAATGAATCGGCCTCAGCACGGTCGGGTGGCCAGAGGGAGATGAAAGCGACAGTTTACGGTCTCTGCATCATCTTACCTGTCCACGGCAATAGCAACTAGAGTAAAGACAGAGGCAGAAACAGAGATTCCTTGGACCATCCCGCTCACCTTGCAAACCAGGCTCCCAAACGGCCATCCTGGAAGGAAACAGGCAAGTGAACTTGCCGCCGTCTCACCGCAGCACTGTGCTTATATGCATAAGAGGAAATTTCCACCCCAGAACTAATGCATTTCTTTTGCTCTGTCAGGCCAGAGCAGGGGTTAGGGAGGCAGAGGTTATGTAAACAAATGCTTTGCCAAATGCCTTGGGTGAGTTTCTGATGTTCCAAAAATCAGCAAAGCAAACCTTTGCGGTTTAACATCCCGTTCAAATGAGATCTCAAGACAAGAAAGGGAATCGACCACTACAGTGGATCGTTCTCTGCATCAGGCTCATACCGCCCAGTCTTCCTAAGCATATAACCTGGTAACGGGAGAATCCCTTCCTAAAGACGAGGGAGGTGGAAGTCAGCAAGGACAGCCCCAGTCAGAAGGTGGGTTAAAGGCTTCTCCTCCTCACCTCCGACTTCCAGTGACTTGAAACGCCTACAGAGCCCACTCAGAAACACGCACCCGGCTCTCAGGGCCCCCGGGGAGGCCAGCACTCGGACACGCCGGCGAGTGCCCCTCGCGTTCTTTCTGCCACGTGGTGCGAACCAGCCTACCTGCAATGATGCTGTCCAGGAGGGTGGTGGGCATGCAGAAGATTCCCACCAGTAAATCGCTGACAGCCAGGTTTAAGATGAAAAGGTTTGTGACTGTGTACATATGTCTGTTCCTCAGGACAATAAAGCAAACCACTCCGTTGCCAACCATACAGAGCAGGAAGATGAGGAGGTAAGAGACGATGAAGACAGCTGCCACTGAAGGCCGATGAAGGTAGAAGTCCACATAGGAGACGTTGCCTTCTAAGTAGAGGTACTTGTATGTCCCATTATAATTCAGCGCGTGAGGCCAATCGAATGAAGAGTTTGAGTCCATTTTCTTACTCGTGTTGTAACGTGCCTTAAAAGATAGTTTTAAAAAGGTCATTTTAGTATGCTGGAAATGGATCTGAAGAAATGTGACTACTTTGGATGTACCGTGTGCTGAAATACATGCAAAGCTCATCTATGCTCATCCCTCCATGGCTCATTTTAACAGTCCACCTTCTGATAGGTAAAGCAACAAATACTACTAGTTTGATTTTACAACACAGGCGTGCAAAAGTGACCAGTAAGACTGGTGAAGGCTTCCTTCCTTCTGCAGGCTCTCTAAATTAAGCCCTTCCTTTCCCAAAGGGGAGGAAAGCCGGACATGATGTAAACTGGCCTATCGTGTTGCATCAAGTAAACAAACCAACAACCTGAACCGTTTATTTTGAGAAAAAAAAATAATCCGAGTTCTTGAGAAATCCATTTACTCACCAGCTTGAGTAATCTGGCACTTGGGTAACGGTGAGATCGCTGAGCCGTGAAAAACAGTGATTAAATTAAAGCTTTCCGAAGTGGCACAAACCTTCTGGCTGAATGTATCCAAATCCAATCCCTTTTCGTTGAAAATGAAATATTTTGGTGTACAGTTGGTATTAGACCACAGCTGATTTTACTTCCCTGCTTACAAGCTGCAGAGACCAGGAGATGAGTCTGCAAACACGAAGGACTACGCTGTGTTTGTAACGCGCTGAAGCACAAGGCAGCTGGATTCATTTCCTAGCTCTGCTACTGCATTCCCATGTGATCCTGGGGAATTCGTAATCTCTCCGTGTTGCGGTTTTCCTGCTATAAAATGTGAGTAACACTTTTCCCACATGGTTCGTTCACATTGTAAAGTAAATTCTCCCAATTTCTATTTTATTAGATTAGATTGGCAAAAACTACAAGCTTTTTCTAAGGTAGACTTTTTCCAAGTCTGAACTTTCTTGATATTGTATCATCTCGGTTTCAAGCTGCAAGTACCTACGCTTGCTGCGTTGTAGTAGCAATGCTTTTGCTGCTGTGATGGCTTGAACATAAAGGAGCCGAGACTTTTTATTCGACCGCTTGATGGAGCTGAAAGAATAGGTTTAAGGCAGGTACGGAATTTGTATGCCCCAAACTTCCAGATTTAACTGATGGTGATTAACTATGTAGGCCACAATCTGTTTTCCTGCCCCGTAGAACCTCTAGTTATTTGAGACGCCGCGCCGAAATTCTAAATCAAATCTTAACCTTGACAAACTTCTAACATGTATATTATACCACTCCCATAGAAACGGCATCAGTCTACATAACAGGCCAGCACTGGCATCTTGACATTTACAGCTGACACCAGATAACTTGACTTGGAAGCAGCATTCAAAAATTTTTTCCACATTAATTTTATCTGCCAGAGGGAGACGCCTAAAGAGGCAGGAGGATGGAGCTGCTCCTGACTTAAAAGAACGGCTCCTGACTTAAAGGAACGGCAAAATTAATTGGCGGCAGAAGGCATAAAATTAATGTACGGGTGCAGGTGCCTTGAGGACACTTACAAATTCCTTAGCATAAATGGAATTTAAATTAAGGCACAAGCATCCAAATCCTGAGGAGCTTGTACGTGAGGGAAGGAAAGTGCTGGCTACAGCTCTTTCCTTACGAAAGGAAACTGGGAGCGGGCCCTTTCTTGTGCAGCTGAGGTTTACTTAAGAGTTTCTCATTTACCTTCTGTCTCTGCCTGTTGTTCCCTGATCAATTTAATCACAGCTAATTCTCAGGCAAGCGTTGCAGCTTTTCTGTATTTTGCTTGTCAATGAAATTCAATAACATCAAAGCCTCTGCAAGCGTTTTACTTCCAGGTAGCAAGGGCAGTAGGAAAATATTTATTCCAATATGCCTTAGGTTTTGAACAAGCAGAGTAGTGAAATAACTGTCGTGTTCTGGTGTCTTCTGCCCTTTTAGAAGTCAACGGCAGTGTAACGTTTGTAATGGGTCTGTATTTTTACATAGTCATTAAAACGTCTGCACGTGAAGGTAGGTAGACAAGAATCGGAAATCTCTCACAAAAAAGGCTGCTTATATGTTTTAGCAAAGCAGTATGTACAAGCTAGCTGTAAGAGTTGCGTATTCTCTTGGCTGACCTTTTGGAGAAAGACTGGTTATTGATCTTTATTGGGTTTATTCAACATATTCTCAAAATGATTGAAAATATTTGTATTGAAATGTATTACGTGCCAAGGGCTTTAACTAGCCAGAGATCAGAGTCCGCTGCTGCGGGAAGCATCCTAATGCCAATTTTACTATTCGCTCAAGATAGCAGGCCCTGATGCGTTTGCATACAAACACGCCCGAGATGAAGAGTGTCGGCAGAATTCAAATACAGATATTTGACAATAGTCGTTCACACTGTTCCTTTAATCACAGATCCGGAGCTGTGCTTTACAAACCCCGGGAGACGCTGCATCACTAAACCCCATTTAAAGCTCAGCAGCTCTCGCGCTCCCTTTTGGCCCGTGACAAAGAACAGGCTTACGGCTGCTCGCTTCCCTCGTCTTCCCCCCGCCCCCTTCTCAGG